AAAGTAGGATGATCACTTGAGCTCAGGAGTTCAGGACCAGCCTAGGCAACATAGAGAAACACCATCTATACAAAGTATTAAAAACATCAGCTGGGTGTGCCGGGCATGGTGGCTCACGCCTGAATCCCAGCACTTTGGGAGGCTGAGGCGGGTGGATCACCTGAGGTCAGGAGTTTGAGACCAGCCTGGCCAACATGGTGAAACCCAGTCTCTACTAAAAATATAAAAATTAGCTGAGTGTGGTGGTGAGCGCCTGTAATCCCAGGTACTCAGGAGGCTGAGGCAGGAGAATTGCTTGAACCCAGGAGGTAAAAGTTGCAGTGAGCCCAGATCGCACCATTGCGCTCCAGCCTAGGGGACAAGAGCAAGACTTCATCTCGGGGGAAAAAAAAATAGCCAGGTGTGTGGTGTACATCCAGCTACTTGGAAGGCTGAAGTGGGAGCATCACTTAAACCGTGAGGTTGAGGCTGCCTGAGCCGTGATCACACCACTGCACTACAGCCTGGGCAACAGAGTGAGACCCTGTCTCAAAAATATTTTTTAAAGCCCACATAAACAAATCCAGGCAAGCTTGTCAACGCTATATGAGATACCACACTGCCACCCTGTACTCTCTATTCCCTAACTATCGAATAATAATTTAGCTAGTCAGGGCTTTTACGAGTCATGTTTTCAGACAAATAGAACCAATAGGATATATAGAGATATATAGGAGATTTATTATGGGAATGGACTCAGGCAATTATCGAGGCCAAGAAGTCCTGTGAGCTGCTCTCTGCAAGCCGGGGAACAAAGAAAGCTGGTGGTGTCATTCAGTGCGAGTCCAAAGGCTTGAGAACCAGGTGAGCCACTGGTGTAAGTCCCAGTTGGAGATCAAAGCCCTGAGCACTGGGGAGGGCTGCTGGTGAGAGTCCTGAAGTCCAAAGCCCTGTGAACTGGGGCCGGCTGACAATACCCCAGCTCAATAAAAGAGAATTTGCCCTTCCTACTTTTGTTCTCTCTAGGCCCTAACAGAAGAGATGATACCTAACCGCCTTGGTGAGGGTGAGCCTGCTGTACTCAGTCTACTGACTCAAATGCTTATTTCTTCCAGAAACACCTTCACGGACACACCCAAAAATAACAGCTTAACAATTGCCAGGCACAGTAGCTTATACCTGTAATCCCAGCACTTTTGGAGGTCAAGGCAGGAGGCTTGCTTGAGGCCAGGAGTTCGAGACCAGCCTTGGCAACATAGCAAGTCCCCATCTCCATGTTAAAAATTAGCTAGTCGTGGTGGCCTGTTCCTGTAGTCCCAGCTTCTTGGGTGGCTGAGTGGGAGGATAGCTTGAGCCCGGGAGGTCTGCGGTGAGCCATGATTGTGCTACTGTGCTCCAGCTTGGGTGACAGAGCAAAACCCTGTTGCAGAAAAAAAAAAGTTTTATCAGCTACTTGGACATTCCATAGTCAAGTTGACACAGAATTAACTATCACTGGGCTCTAGATTGCATGTGGTAGAAGCAGACTCTAATGAAAGAGAAAAATAAAGGTAGCAGGTAACTTATCCAATCAACAAAAAGTCTGGAGACTTGAATTCAGGAAATCAAGTCTCAGATCTGGTCATGGGGACAGTGTGCTTTGGATCCCACCAATGGCGTATCACCCTAGACATTGGCTGCCGTATTACTCATTCTTAATTTCACCTTCGAGTCACTCCCTCGAGTTATCCACTACAGGATGGAGACATTTGATTGGCTTTGATGAAGTCATGAGTCCATACTTCAGATGCTAGGGGACAAAGAGGGGAGCTATCTGTCATGAGAAATGGGGCTCTGATTCCCACCTATCTAGGCATTCGCCCAAATGGGAAGTGTTCCCGAAAGCTGGGTAGCAGAAGCAGTAAATATCTACTACAGTTGGGTATGGCATTCTAGGCTGATGACATTTTGATATTATTTAATTTTTGAATGTGTATTTTTAAGTTTGCTATCAATTTTGTGTTTTTAGGTAATTTTCTTTTTAACTGGATTGCTTTTAAGAATTTATGTGTTTGATAAACTATAGTTTCACTAGATGTGGTTAGATGATAATTTATCTGATCTACTTGGAATTCATCAGGCCTTTTCAATTTAAGGATGTTTGCTTTTCTTTAGTTCTAGAAAATTCCCAGTCATTAGGTCTTCAAATACTACTACTCCCCTATTCTGTCTTCAGAAATTCCTATTAAAAATATGTTGGAGTTTTCTTTCTCTTTCGTGTCTCTACAGAGAGTCATACATTTTGGCCGCTTGACTCTGTGCTATATTTGAAGAGATTTATTCAAATATCTTGTTGAATTCTTTAATTCTGTCCTCAGTTATATCTAATTTGATGCTTATCTGTTTAATGTATAACTAATCTGTTAATTAGACAACTAATGTTTAACCTGTTTGATCTTCAGTTATATCTAATCTGATTTCATTATTTTCAATGATCATGGTTTTTATAAAGTTTTGATTCTTTTTACATCTACCTGTTTTTTTTTTTTCATGTTTTCCCCCATAATCTTGCTAGTCCTTTTTTCCCCTTCCATTATTTTAGATATTCTTCAATTTTTCCCCCTAGTTTTTGTTTTGTTTCGGTATTCTTCCTTTAGAGCTTTGTTTAGGCAACTTTTATTAGTCTCTGGGGTCCTCTGGGTCCTCCCTTGCATTCTAGCCATCCTCTTGAGAGACTTTATGTGGCTGATTCATTTTGTTCAGGGGTTCTTTTCAATAGGAAGTTTCTGTCTCATGGTGCTTGTTCGTTGATTGTTTTCACTGAGAAAGTCCTTGGTTTCCTGCATTGTGAAAATTTCCCTTCAGGGCTTCTCTGGGGTCCTTGAAGTTACACCAAGGGGGTTGTGTTGGGTAACACAGGCAGGTGGACAGGATGAATACATTTAGAATTATAAACCACCTAAAAAAGTTGGCCCATCTCTTCTCCCAGTATGGGCCACTGGCCTGAGTTACTGTTTGTCTCTTTTCTTTAAAAAAATCATGAAATGTCGTGGGGCGCGGTGGCTCAAGCCTGTAATCCCAGCACTTTGAAAGGTCGAGGTGGGAAGATGACTTAAGATCAAAAGTTTGAGACACACCTGGCCAATAAGTTGAAACTCCATCTCTATTAAAAATACAAAACATTAGCTGGGCATGGTGGCTCACACCTGTAGTCCCAGCTACTTGGGAGGCTGAGACAGGACAATTGCTTGAAACTGGGAGGTGGAGATTGCAGTGAGCCAAGATCACTCCATTGCACTCCAGCCTGGGAGATAGAGCAAGACTCCATCAAAAAAAAAAAAAAAAAAATCATGAAATTTACTTGCTCCTTCCTGCTTCAGAGTCAGGAAGACTGGGAATTAGAAGTTTGCAAATCCAGTTGAAACAGGCTTTTGACAATTAGGTGACTTTTTGGCTTATGTAGAGGAAAAGGGAAGGGATAGCCTGGAAATGACCTAGGCTCTTATACCCACTGACGTCCCACAGTAGATGACGAACCTTTTTCTGAAGCCTTCTCCTTGCCTTTAACCCCTCCACCCTCTCTAGAACTCTCAAACACAGCTCCAGATTGATTGAGAATCACAGCTCGAAATATGTTGCTCTCCAGCTCAAAAGCCTGCAGAGGTTCACTTTGTGCCTCTGGTGGGAAGTCTGAAGCATTGTGGGTGGCAGCCTAGGCCGTTCATTTCTCCAGCTTTATCTCATCTGACCCTGCTTGACACATCCTTAAATCCATTCCGGCAGAACTTTCTTTTCCTCTTGGTCCCACTCCGAATTGTCCCTTCTGTGAACTCCCAGTGATATTTGCCTATGGCCCTTGCCTGTAGTATCCATGCTCTGGGTTGTATTGGAGTTGTGTGTCTGTTTTACACCACCCCTTCATTCACTATGTTCTTGAAGGAGGGAAGCCATGTCTGACTTACCTTCTATTTGCTGTGGTGGCAGGCGGAAAACGTCATGTAAGAGCCACTCCAGTGGGTCTCAGTGAATCAGGGGACTCCCAGTGCGCTTGCTGGTGATTGGGTTAAGCCAGGCTAGTGGCTCGTGTGCCATGCAGGGCAGGTATGTGCCCTTCAGCAGAGTCTCATGGGGAACACTGGCTTAGTATTGCTTTAGCACACAAGGGCTCAACTCTGGCAGTGAGGTGGGAGTACCGCGAGAGTGAGCATTGCCCCTGCACAGTGTCTCCATCTCCCCTGTTCCTGGGCCTCCTGGTTAGGCCCCACTCCACCATAACTCTTCCTTCAAGATACTCTCCTGGCCCGGCGGCTGTCTTTAAAGCCCCTGTGCAGCTTCAAGATGGTCCCTGTTTGGACCATAGCAAATCCTGCCTGGTACTGTCATCTGATCATGTGAATGTGCTGCCTTCCCAGTCAGCGCCTCCGGGGTGTCCTGGGCAAGTTGGCTCACTCATCCATGGGCCTTGCATGCAGCAGGGCCCACAACGCCTCTGTTGCTTAAAGGTGTCCATTCAAGGCTGGGCACAGTGGCTCACACCTGTAATCCCAGCACTTTGGGAGGCTGAGGCCAGCAGATCACGAGGTGAAGAGATCAAAACCATTCTGGCTAACATGGTGAAACCCTGTCTCTACTAAAAATACAAAAAATTTAGCCAGGCATGGTAGCATGAGCCTGTAATCTCAGCTACTTGGGAGGCTGAGGCAGGAGAATCAGTTGAACCCGGGAGGCAGAGGTTGTAGTGAGCCGAGATTGTACCACTGCACTCCAGCCTGGGCGATAGGGTGAGACTGTTTCAAAAAAAAAAAAAGGTGTCCATTCAGGTCAACTTGTGCCCAGTACTGACCCCAGGGTGGACAAAACAGAGTCCATAAAACATTCAAGCCAACAGTCAGGAACCTGACATAGCTGTTGGGTGACCACACTTGTGTCTGGGAGGCTATCCTGAGCCTGGTACAGCACCTGGCACATGGGAAACTCTGTGTATGTTTTTAAATGAAGGAATGAATGAGTTGATGGGTGTGTCTTTTGATCTCCTCCAACAGATTACAACAGCAGTGAATTAAAAACAGCCTGCAGGAAGCATGAGCTATATGTGAGCTTCCAAGACCTGGGATGGCAGGTGAGTTCTCTGGATATGGGAGACAAAGGTCCTTTCTCAGCAGTTTGTTCTTATCAGAATGGTGGCAGCCATCACCAAACACCTAGAGCTAGAAGGTTGAGCTGATTCCTTCTGCGGAAGTCCTGAGAAGCCCTCCCAAACACTCAGGCTTCTGGAGGGAGGCAGAGGAAGCTTTGTCTGTGGGGCACCAAGCACTCCGACATGTTCCTAGGGTGCATGAGCTCTGTGATCCTCAATAGCCACACTTCCCAATACTCTTAACTCATCCTTTGTAAGCCCATATATTTATAGGCATTTAAACAAATTTGATTTATACAAAGAAATTACCTAATGGTTAACTTCTCCAGCGGCTACAGACTGGCTCACCCAAACAATGAAGAGTACACATTTGCCCCATACCTGAGAACCATCACTAGTTTATAAGGAAAGCAAGCAACTTTAATCATAGGTGGTGAGTGATAGAAGACAGCTTCCATATGTAGGTGGCATTGCTTCCCCAGGAGCACCGTAGGCTCCTAGAGAGGCTGCCTTGGGTCCAAGCACGTATTGTAACCTATGCACTTCCAGGCCTACCAGGCAGGTAGCAGCTGAGGCCCTCTGGGCCTGTGCAAGGAGCGAGGGCTCTAGGGTCAGATCAACGAGGTTCACCTCCTAGCATTGCCACTGGAATTTTTGGACAAATTCCTAAGCCTTCCTCCATCTGTCTCCTTGCCTGCCCAATGTGAAAAATACCTTTTCGTAGCATTCCTGAAAAGCACAAATAGTATGAGAAGTGCATGTTAATCTTTTGTTGCTTCCTCTGCATTAAATTAAGGACTGGATCATTGCACCCAAGGGCTACGCTGCCAATTACTGTGATGGAGAATGCTCCTTCCCACTGAACGCACACATGAACGCAACCAACCACGCGATCGTGCAGACCTTGGTGAGCTCTTGGAGACTTTGTTTTGTAGGTGGGAGTGAGTGAGACCAGCTGTCATTTCTAAGGTACCTTTCTCCCCTTCTGTTTTGGAACAGGTTCACCTTATGAACCCTGAGTATGTCCCCAAACCGTGCTGTGCGCCTACTAAACTAAATGCCATCTCGGTTCTTTACTTTGATGACAACTCCAATGTCATTCTGAAAAAATACAGGAATATGGTTGTAAGAGCTTGTGGATGCCACTAACTTGACACCAGATGCTGGGGACACACATTCTGCCTTGGATTCCTAGATTACAACTGCCTTAAAAAACAGAAGCACAATTGGAGGTGGGATGATGAGACTTTGAAACCATCTCATGCCAGTGCCTTATTACCTAAGAAGATTTTAAAGGACCTCATTCATAATTTGCTCACTTGGTAATGACGTGAGTAGTTGTTGGTCTGTAGCCGAGTTTGGGTGTCTGTAGTATAAAGTCTGGTGACTACAGAAACATAACCTTGAAGCTCTCCTCCCCCAAAAACCCCACCGAAATTAGTTTTAGCTATAGATCAAGCTATTTGGGGTGTTAGTAAATAGGGAAAATAATCTCAAAGGAGTTAAACATATTCTTGGCTAAAGTATCAGCTGGTTCAGTACTGTCTATCAAAGGTAGATTTTACAGACAACAGAAATTGGGAAAATGGAGGGAACACCTCTGTTCACTTTCATTCCCAGGAAGTTTAATTTCATATAGGACCCACAGCCAGGGCTCCATGGGGCACGTTCGTCTCAGTCATTGCTGTTGTTGTATGTTCGGGCTAGACTTTGCTGGTGTGAAAATATACTTATTTCAGCCAAAACAAACCATACCATTTCTACACCTCAACCCTCCATTTGCTGTACTCTTTGCTAGTACCACATGTAGACTGATTACACTGAGGTAAGGCTGCAAGGGGTGTGTAACCACGTAACACGTGAAGGCAACGCTGCACCTGTCATTGGAATTACTGAGATGGTTCTTTGACTTGCACGTTAACTTCTGGACTGCCGACTCTTAAAAGCAGAAGCGGTTCTCTGCTTTTTTTACTATCCCGCATGCCACACCACAGGGTCAGAACCAACAAAGGAAATAAAATGAGGAAGGGTGCCCAGCCTAGAAGAATGGCGTTAGAGGGATGAGTGTGCTGTTTATGAACTGAAATCATGATTTCCCTTGTAGAAAGTGAGGCTCAGATTAAATTTTAGAATATTTTCTAAATGTCTTTTTCACAATCATGTACCGGGAAGGCAATTTCATACTAAACTGATTAAATAATACATTTATAATCTACAACTGTTTGCACTTACAGCTTTTTTTGTAAATATAAACTATAATTTATTGTCTATTTTGTAACTGTTTTGCTGTAACATTGAAGGAAAGACCAGACTTTTTAAAAAAGAGTTTATTTAGAAAGTATCATGGTGTAAACAAACAAATTGTACCACTTTGATTTTCCTGGAATACAAGACTTAAGATGCAAAGCTGAAGCCACTCTTGACAGTTGTGCTTCTCTAGGAGGTTGGGGTTTTTTGTTTTTGTTTTTTTTAAAGAAATTATCTGTGAATCACACGTGATTAATAAAGATTTCCTTTAAGGCAGAGGCTGGTCGAGATGCTGCTGTTATCTTCTGCCTCAGACAGTGTAAGTGGTCTTGTTTCTAAGATTCCTACCACCAGTTACTTAGAGCCAAGTGTCCACATCCCCCTGCGCATGGGAGGTGGGTGAAGGGTATTGGATGCAAAGTGGTTACTATGGGAAGTAGCTTGATAGTAAAAGGACAAACACCTATCTTAGAGCTTAGTCCTACAAGTGCTTATTCCTGAAGGAGATAGTAAAAGTGTTTACTCACAAGGATAGCATGAGTGAAAGGACGCTGGCATCAACAGGTGCCACAGCTGTGCACATCAGGGCCAGAGCAATCCTGCTGACATCTGTCTTTGGTCTTGAGATCAAATGCATCCCATTCTTCATACATTAGAATGTCGACCACCTTGAAGCAGACCAAGTAGAGCAAGCCTCTAAAAGGACGACTGAGGAACAGAATCAGAAACTGTCTAGTTAGGGCCCTTCAGCGGAGCTGCAGAGCCTCCCTGGATACCCAGGCCTGGGAACGCCTGGTCTTGTCACCCCAGGAGACAAATACAACCGGAATCTTTCTATGAGTTAATGAAATACTCAGAACGAGCCTCGTGGAATTTTCCATGCCTACCCTTTCTACGGGAGACATCCAGTCTTAAAGTTCACGTGGACTCTGTCTTCATGTTAACGGGATGAACTAAAGAAATGTTTCACCCCGTGAGAAACAGAAGGATCCCCTGAACAGTAACTGACTTGATAAGGAATGAAGTTATGGCATCTGCATTCTCTTACTAGGCACAGTCAGAAGTACCGCTGCTTTCGTTATGGCTAACCTCTCACAGTGAGAGGGGATTCACAGAACAGAAGCTCCAGCAGTAGCCGTGAAGGTATCTTTCATCAGAGGTGTGGGTTTTTGCATTTAAATCTGCTCCATGCTATGGACCAACCGCAGTATTAAGTCAACTGTGACCTTAAGATCAGAGGAACGTCAATACTGCCACAAGGTCACCTTTCCAGAACTCATGGGCAGTTAACAAACTATGCTTTGGATGTGCTTTCTTTCACCAAAATCACTCAGGAGCCAAAAATAGTCCAGCAATTTGATTTCCCTCAACTCTATTTTAGTCTCAAAGGAAACCATTTCAATTTCATCAAGAGAGGGTCAAAGGGGATATATCGCCACTGAAAATATTTAGTTTACACAGTGACCGTGAGTTACACATTTACTTGGAGAAACTAAGAATCTGTAGAGTGTGTTGGCTTGAGAAACACACACACAAAGAAGATACCGCACGCTCTGTATGTTCTGCTTTCTGGACAGCTACCACCAGGAACCCAGTGGCCTCTGTGGGATTGAACTCCTAGACGCAGGGTGCAGGAGCCTGGCAGGAGAGGTGACTTCTGCATTTCTAGAGTTCATCTTTCGCTTGGCCAAGGACAAAGCGGTGTAACGAGTCAAGATCTCTGCCTCCACTGTGCTCACTGACTTTCTTCCCTCCTCGGAAAAGCAACAATGTAGGGTAGCCTCGAACCTTAAAAACACAAAAGAAAAAGTTTCCAAACCAGCAGCCCAGATCACAAACGTTTTCTAAATAAAACCAGATACACTCCTACTGTTGTGGCTGGAATATACGCTTCGTGTATATTCCATTAAAACAGGAGCAGACCGTTTAGAAAGCAAAGCCAGGGGGCTGTGTGTTCACTTCTTTATACGAAATGACATTATTTATTAAAGATTAGCATCAAAGGAACGAGTTTACCCTAAAGTAGACCCATTCAGTCTTTACTGTGCACACAAGCACCTGGGGATCTGGTGAAGATGCAGGCCTGGGAGTCTGCATTTCCAACAAGCTCCCTGGTGATGCCCTGCTGGTCTGCAGACCAGACCATGAGAGCAAGATCCTTGGGGATACATTTTTTAGTTGCAAATAGTTGCTTTAAGAATTTTAGGGCACAAAAAACAATTGCTATCTATTAATGATAGGGAAACTACGTCTGGGTTATGTTTATTCTCCATCTAAAAGGCTCCAAAAGTGTTTTAATAACGCAAAAGGAGAAATAAAAAGTACAAATCTTCCAGGCCATCAGACTGTGCTAACAGCTTGGAATGAAGGCAGTAGTTAACCTTCTTTCTGAAAGGGCCATGCCAGAGTCGGTCCTGTGCTTGGTTATGTTGAAATGATTCTTAGATTCAGCCACTGCATTTTAGAATGTTGGCTTAGGTGTGAAAAATGAGTGACTTGGGTATTTACGGCAAAGGCTACAGGCCGCTGGTCAATCATCAACAATGGTGGTGTGGGCAGCTCCACAGTCTATGGCATGGGATCTGTTACTTCACAGCCTTATACTCAGCAAGGCCTAAAAACCTGCACTGAACATGGATACTAACTAAAAAGCAGGCAGAGAAGAATGCCTTTCCTTTGAGAGAGGATCTGTTTTGCTTCTCAAAATAACTCAAAGGGACACAGAAACCACTCTGTTGAAGGATGAGGGCAGAGTGAGTGATCCTGGCTGAGTCACAGTTCCCTTAGGCTCTACTCCCCACACTCACAGCCCCCATCAGAGTCCATCCAAGTACCCACCGAATACTTGCTGCAAATATTCCGTTCAGCGGTGCAGTCTACTTCAGCTATCTTGACCCCTGCCAGACCAGGGAATTCCTTTTTAGAGAGTTCCTCCCAAGTGGGAGCCAGATTCTTACAATGACCACACCTAGGAAGAGAAAAATGGCAGCTTTGTTGAGATTCTGGGTCGAGATCATTCACCTACACTTTGCTGCCAAGACAAGCCCTGTTTCTTCTGTATGGGACAGTCAACAATTGCCTAGAAATTTAGAAAATATCAAATTCTCCCACTAGGTGCACACAAACTCTTCCTCCTCCTCCCATCCCAAACGACAAATGAAAAGTTGATGCAAGGTAGACTTTCAGATAACATGACAGAAGCTAGCCAGCCTGAAAACAAGTTGAGATCCTGAGACCATTTCCATGCCACGGTGAACTACACTATGTGGTTTGCAAATGGAGCAGGAGCTGGGGAACAGGGCAGATGCCACACGTTTTCTAAAAAGTCACTTGAATGCCAAAGACATTTTAGATTTGACTGCTTATGGTCTCAAAATTTCAAAACCATTTTAAGGCCTCCTTGGTACTTCAGTGATTTGGTGTGAGCGTCAAGGCCACGCCTAAGTTTGGTTCAAACCCTCCCTTCCACCCGACTTGGTTCCTGAGTCTCTTCTGACACCCTCCTGCCACATGGATCCCTTCAGCAAAACGGGATCCTCTTTCCTGATACTTGATCTGCGGAGCTTTCGGTTTTTAAATGTTGAAAATGATATGAAAGGCACTACTGTGCTTCCTGTGAGTCCTGTACTTAACTTTGTACTCCTGCTGTTTCTCAGAAACGTGTGGGGCGTAAGAAACAAGAAAACTGACACCTTTATCATGTTTAGATAAAGAATCTAATGCTGTCCTAAACACTGTGCTTTTCCAAATGGATTGTTTTATTTGTGAAGACAAAAAGTTACTCCCATTTTTCAGCTGAGGAAACTGGGGTTTCAAAGGAATTAGAAGACATCCAGGTTTACTACATGGATCTCACCCTACCTGCAACCCATTTGTGCTCTGGTCTCCAAGACCATGTGGCATGCAGGTTCAGGAAACTGCAGAGCATACAGAATGGCTAGAACAGAATCTACTGGATTTCTCTGTAACATTACTTAAAAGAACCGAGGAGCAAAGCTACATCATGACACTCATTGTTTAATGCAAAAAAAATTATATATATATTTTAAAAAGTGCAAACACCACAAAACTGAATGTGGCCATCATAATTTGCCTCTGTTTTTATGTTTTCTCCAAAGGTGATAGAACTTTAAATTAGCCTCATTCTCCATATGTAATTGTTGAGGCCCCTGAAGTTTAACATAATTGAATACAGGAATATAATGATAACGTTTCCTTATCTCCTACTACATGTAAATGTAACGTGTGCCCAACATTGAGTCTGGAGGGATGGCAGGTGAAAAACATGATGTGACTTAGTACACTAGGACAAAGTAGTTTCTAATTAAACAGCCACTTACCATGGAGCATAAAACTTGATGAAGGTTATTCCTTCTGCAATGGTGTCATCGAAGTTCTTTTCAGTGAGTGCCAACACAGTGCCCTTCAGGGGAGGGAAAAGCCACAGTTCAAGTACATCCCTTAAAGTTGAGCAGGGCCATGCTTTGGGATTGCAGACACACGAATCAGTAATTTTTTTAAAAATGCAGTTATGCATGCTCCTAAGTTACACAAAAATACCTACATAATCTGCGTTTCACAAGCTACACACAAAGGCTGGCTGCCTCTGAAGGGCAGAGAGATCAATACAAGTCCCTGGGTCCCGAGCCTGGGAGATGCTGTGAGGAGGTGGTTGGATACTGTATGGGGAAGGATGGCAGGTGGAGGGGGTGGCACACTGTCTTTCGGGGATGAGGCAGGTTGAAAATCCCCAGGCCACTGTTCTGACAACTTTCCAGGGCTCTGTGGTGTAGACCAGGCAGCCCTGGAGTCCAAGGCTTGAGTCTGCACCTCCAGGCTTGGAGTTTCCAGGACACCAGTGAAGTCTGATCCTCAGCGGCTTTTCTCACTGGCCACCCTGTTCTCCTCTCACCCTTCATGACATCCTCTCTGTGCAACAGAAGGAACCGAGTTACCATAGTACAGGCAATGATATGTGTTTTACAATGAACATAAAAATGGAAAGCAGCCTCTTTTAGGTCAATTCGAAAAATGCTGGTGGAAGCTCTGGCTGAAGAATGTAAAGGAAAGGTGCTTTAAAGCCATTCTCTCTTGACAGTTCTTTACAGAATGACGTCTATGTGTTTCTCCAAAAATGGACCTGCGATTCTCTCCTGAGAGCAGGAATGGGATGATTTATCATGTGGCTAAGTGTACCAGGGCTGCTCCATTTGAGTCTGGCATCGAGTAACATATGTCAGTGACAGGGGCCAAGCGGGGCCACTGTGGAACACTAC